TAATACACTACAGGGCTGTTACCAATCAAATTAAATAATTACAAAATTACAACAGCAATAAATAATGTTATGGGATTAATGTGGTAAATTAAATTTTGAACATACAAATAAGAAATGTTGGGGGAAAATGCATACTTTTAAGCATGAGACTAAACCGCCAGTAGGTGGTTTAGTCTCAACCTTCGACTTAGGTAGGTAAGTCACTTATTCATTCAAACGATTCCTTCAAACCTCTGAATCATTCAGTAACAAAAACGCCGGGTGTGGCTTGGAGAATGTGCGCAATAATTCTGTTCTGATCTTTGTTTGGAACTATTTTCGTTGGTAAAATAGAACAAAACAGTCAATTGTGTCTAAAATGTAAGTAACTTAATATACTTTACTACTTGCTTGTTGAACTAAAATCAGTGTAACATTTGCAATCGTGAAAATATTCAGCAAAATAGATCCCTTATCATGGTATGTTACTTGACTATATCATGCCATAAATAAACTAAACATTTTGAATTTTTACCTCAGTATGTTTGTTCTGTGAGTTTCTTTATGTGTGCCGTACGCTCATTTGATTTGATTTCTCCATGAAAGTCTCTCACAGAGACAGGCAGCACGAGCCTCAACAGCGCGACATTGATAATAGAAATACACTACCCATTATCAATCGCTGTTTAAGCTGAATGTAATAAAATCAGAAGAATCATTCGCGCGTTTTGATGCGTGATTATATTTTGTCACTTAAGTTTTAATCAGGCTATTAGTCCTGTCGGGCAAGTACAATTCTCAAGCCATTTTTCAGTAAACTTGCATGAACCCATTTAAAGTAGTTCGGAGGCTGGACAGCGAGCTGTATTCTGTAACCGCAATTCTCTCTGAGGACGCGGTAACTACAGCGGGGAAAAAGTACTCTTGATGGACACTCAAATGGGTCCGTCAGACTGGAGAAATTTTTGTGGTAATGTGACCAAAAATATTTAAGACCTACTGAATCTGAATTTAAGACATTTTAAGACTTTTTAAGGACCCGCGGCCACCCTGTGTTAGAGTGTTGATCCTGATTGCTTTTCACTTTGCTTTCATGTCATGTTAGGTGCCTAACTGATGTTCATTTCATTGTCAAGTTGACAATGAAACTACTTTTCAAAAGTCTGTACGAATTTTTAATTTTTTGAGAAAAGTCTCTTATGCTCACCATGGCTGCATTTATTTGATCAAAAATACAGTAAAAACAGTGATAAAGTTATATATTAATACAATTTAAAATGACTGTTTTCTATTTTAATATATTTCCAAAAATGTGATTTATTCCTGTGAATTTTCAGCAGCCATTACTCCAGTCTTCAGTGCCACCTGATCCTTCACAAATTCACATTCCTTATTATTATCAATGATGAAAACAGTTGTGTTGCAGTTTTCTGGAAACTGTGATACTTTTTTTTTTTTATTTCAAAAGATTTTGAAAAAAAAAAAAAAAGTTTTTTCAAAAACAAACGTAAAAATCTTACTTACCACAAACTTGTCAGTGGTAGTGTACATAAAGAAAATGTTATTTAGCCAAATAAATCAAGAGATAAAATTAATTTACTTTGTCATTTAATCCTAGCTGAAATTCCTTACAGAAGCACCAGGCAATTACATGGAGAACATTCCAAGACTTGATCTCTGCTGCCATCTACAGGTCACATTAGGTTTCAACAGGCTAATCAAAGTAATTGAATATCAGGATGCTTTTTGTGCCACCGGAGACATCCATCTACTACAAGCATTTTGAATTAATTGCAAAGAACCAGTCATGACGTACGAATAAAACCGATCCAAGCTGTTTCTATAAACTTATTAAATAAAAGCTTTATCCAACAACAACTCATTATGTTCCTTTGAACATAAAAATAGACGAGCTAAATATTAAACTATATCAACTAAAGCATGTTACTTAAAATATAAAGTCAGCACTAAATAGTAGATCAGTTTGAAATGAAAAAATAATTTCCTTTATTTTCTCCTTTTTTCATTGTGCCCTTCCAGTGTCTTACCGTAACTCTTCAAGAGTCAGCTGCACATCTCGAACAGCATCAGCATCCATATGGTTGATGAGCTCCTTTCTATAGCGCACCATAAAGGGAACCGTGTTCTCCTCCTGGAAGAGCTTTGCAATGTTCGCACACACCCACTGCTCCACACCCGTCTTCTCAGCAAGAACCTACATGGGATATTAAAATGTGTCCCTTTTCATTTTATTTTTGAGCAACAAATAATGACTATCATACATTTTTACCATGATTTACAGAAGACACCCATTAAATGTCATTCAGTGTAACAATAGTTCATATACCAAAAATCTTGTCTAAATTTAAATCTTTACCCATCTTTGCCACTATTATTCTAACCACTAGGTTTTACCCATCTGTCAACAAAAAGGTACTAATCATTTAAAATCTACTAAAATTTGGTACAATCACTTTTTCTTTTATATATTTTAAAAAGTTCAGGTCAGTATAAGTATGATGTTTATTTTTTACATAAATATATTACTTTCACTGAATGACAATGGAACATTATTTCACCCACATTTTAAAATTTTATTTTCACAAAACTTATCTGAAACAGTTAAGTAGACACTTTACTTGCATTTAATATGCTTTCTATGAATATAAAATCACTTTTGTAAATTTAATTTGCTGCGGATACCAAAATGGGGCGTCTCGTCTTTGATTTATATTTGACTGCAGAATGCTGCAACTGACCAATCAGGGCCAAGTATTCCAGAAAGCACTAAAATAATTAACAATATAGCAAATAATAATACCTTTAACATTGCAACAGACCTTCAGTGTAACACTGATCAGAATAACATGACACCAACGATTTCAAAAAGTAAGTCAGTCATCTCACTATATTAGAAAGTAATAACCCACCTGAATGGGAACCCAATTCATCTCTATGTCCTCCACACAGGAATTGCCCGATTTGAGTTTTATCGGTCTTCCCTGGGCCGCGTTTGTCGTCCTCTGTTTCTTCTGGGCAGGTTCATCAAAGGTGAAGCTGTCATCTGGCTCCTCTTTTTTCACCTTGGGGAAATGTTGACTGGATGATGGACACTCATGAGGCACATCTCCTGGGACAGCTGCATTATGACTGCTCAAGTTAATGGACAATCTCTAAAATAAAGCAAAAGGTTGAAATTAAATAAATTACTTGAGTACATGATGTTTGTGTTGGTTAAATATAATATATTATTAGAACTGCTGATGTCAGTCAGGGTGGATCCCATATTTAATAAGCAGTCATTTAGAAAAACACATTCTTTTTATGCAAAGCAAATTACATTACACTTATTACAGAGCAATTACTGCTGCTTATTTCATTTGCATGTCAAATACTATAAATGTAGAATTGTGATATACCGCAGTGAAAATCTAAGCACAAGCATTAATGACTTGCCTCTTCTTTGACCGTCACATGCTGCTGTGACTCAGGCTTCGGTAGAACCGCATCCTCAGTTTGTTGCTCTGTTTTAGTCTTCGCCTTCTTCGCTTTAGAAACTCGTGCAGCTCTCGGCTTCCTCTCTGCTTTAGGTTTGGGTTCTTTTGGTTTTGGCTCTTTAGGTTTGGCCACCCTCTTGGTCACTTTTTTCCTTTCAGCCATTTCAACTGTCCCCCTCTGACGTCTTCCTTTAGTTTTGCCTTCATTTATATTTGGTAACCATTCCTCTAACTCCTCACTGTCATCTCTTTGATTGCCTGTCCTGTAACAAGAAACCAGTTTTATTTCATCCAGCATTCAGGGAGAATAAGAAATAGAAGAATACTGTATTTCTACATCATTAAAAAGGGACTATTTTTACACAATAAACTGTTTATGACTGCTTAGAAACGTTATAAAGAGGTTAAAGAGCAATAGTTTGACACACGAGTATGTTTTCAACACTGTTAATCTATTGGAAGAAACAGCCTAGTGTTTTATCTTAACCTTGGAAGCTAATCTGAAAAAGAAAAAAATGTGCTGGCCTGTGCAAACAAAGCAAAGCAACTCACATGTCATCTGATTCATCTTCTGGTTCTGTATATACCTTTGCTGTTCTTGTTCTTCGAAGCATCTTTGTGTGGGGAAAAAAAACGAATGAAGACTAACTAAATGACAATAACAAATAATGGAGCCTGGGATATAGTAAAACCTCTCGACGTGAATATCTTTTCAACTCAATTTATCTTATCAAATATACATATAAAAACAGAATAAGCTTGTCATAACGACTTTCAGACAAACTGAAATGAAAACCTGTCCGTCAGTTGTCACTTCAAATATATGCAAATTCCTCACGGCAACGCAAAAGCACGTTTAAAGCTGTTGTGATGAATGTTAAGTGTCAGCAATCAAAGAAAGTAATAACCCACCTGAATGGGATCCCAATTCATCTGTAAGTCCTCCACACAGGAATTGCTCAGTTTGAGTTTTATCGGTCTTCCCTGGGCTGAGTTTGTGGTCTTCTGCTTCTTCTGAGCAGGTTCATCAAAGGTGAAGCTGTCATCTGGCTCCTCTTTTTTCACCTTGGGGAAATGTTGACTGGATGATGGACACTCATGAGGCACATCTCCTGGGACAGCTGCATTATGACTGCTCAAGTTAATGGACAATCTCTAAAATAAAGCAAAAGGTTGAAATTAAATAAATTACTTGAGTACATGATGTTTGTGTTGGTTAAATATAATATATTATTAGAACTGCTGATGTCAGTCAGGGTGGATCCCATATTTAATAAGCAGTCATTTAGAAAAACACATTCTTTTTATGCAAAGCAAATTACATTACACTTATTACAGAGCAATTACTGCTGCTTATTTCATTTGCATGTCAAATACTATAAATGTAGAATTGTGATATACCGCAGTGAAAATCTAAGCACAAGCATTAATGACTTGCCTCTTCTTTGACCGTCACATGCTGCTGTGACTCAGGCTTCGGTAGAACCGCATCCTCAGTTTGTTGCTCTGTTTTAGTCTTCGCCTTCTTCGCTTTAGAAACTCGTGCAGCTCTCGGCTTCCTCTCTGCTTTAGGTTTGGGTTCTTTTGGTTTTGGCTCTTTAGGTTTGGCCACCCTCTTGGTCACTTTTTTCCTTTCAGCCATTTCAACTGTCCCCCTCTGACGTCTTCCTTTAGTTTTGCCTTCATTTATATTTGGTAACCATTCCTCTAACTCCTCACTGTCATCTCTTTGATTGCCTGTCCTGTAACAAGAAACCAGTTTTATTTCATCCAGCATTCAGGGAGAATAAGAAATAGAAGAATACTGTATTTCTACATCATTAAAAAGGGACTATTTTTACACAATAAACTGTTTATGACTGCTTAGAAACGTTATAAAGAGGTTAAAGAGCAATAGTTTGACACACGAGTATGTTTTCAACACTGTTAATCTATTGGAAGAAACAGCCTAGTGTTTTATCTTAACCTTGGAAGCTAATCTGAAAAAGAAAAAAATGTGCTGGCCTGTGCAAACAAAGCAAAGCAACTCACATGTCATCTGATTCATCTTCTGGTTCTGTATATACCTTTGCAGTTCTTGTTCTTCGAAGCATCTTTGTGTGGGGAAAAAAAACGAATGAAGACTAACTAAATGACAATAACAAATAATGGAGCCTGGGATATAGTAAAACCTCTCGACGTGAATATCTTTTCAACTCAATTTATCTTATCAAATATACATATAAAAACAGAATAAGCTTGTCATAACGACTTTCAGACAAACTGAAATGAAAACCTGTCCGTCAGTTGTCACTTCAAATATATGCAAATTCCTCACGGCAACGCAAAAGCACGTTTAAAGCTGTTGTGATGAATGTTAAGTGTCAGCAATCAAAACTGTCTCTATAGAATTCGAAAGTAATTTTGAATTTAGCGCGCGAGCACGTCCGTGAAATTTGTCTGGGCTGCTGGTTCCCCAAATGACAAGCGATTCAACTAGAGATGTTTAACTACAGAAGCTGCTAACAAAACTGTTCAAACTTACAGTGTTCCTCTTACAGGCATCAAACCATAACCCATTTCACGAGTCACGACTGAATGGTGGTTTGTTTCGTCAGCGACGTCAGCAGCAGGAAGTGATGTAGTTAAGGTTCTCGAACTCTTAAAATATATAATAAAAGTTCATCTTGATGTTGTTTTTTTCTCAAATGTTTTCTAATATGCAGAAGAAGGAGCGGTCCGTGCCCAGTCCGTGTTCTTTGCTCTTTGGCCACTTCCGTGAGTTGCACTGTTTGTTTGTTTGTTTTTAATCATTGCCAAAGCTGCGTGGAGTTAATAGTCAGAGAGTGTTCCGTGCTCTTTAAAATGAAGCGGAAAATAATTCAATCTGAAAGAAAAGATCAGTCTGCAGGAAGATTGCAACAATCCGATCGGAAACCTAAGGATTTAAACGTGCACGCAAGGCAAGTGACATTTGTTGTATTTACTTTTTTGCATAAAACAAAGAGCAACAATATCAGGAAATGTCAATGTCAGGGTTCAAATGTAGTTGGTTGGGGGGGAAGAGAACTTTTAAAATGTGACACTATGAAGATTTAAATTTGCAGTGTTTAAAAATAATGATATAGGCAATAAAAACTATTATTACTAGGACTAAAACTAAGCTAAAACTATGAAGGTGCATTTATGCAATTCATGAAGAGTTCATGCCATTACATAACATTTTCATCTTCCAACAGTAACAAAGTCCAGTTGTAAGCAAAGGCAAAAGCATCAACCATACCACATAGATTGCAATATCTTGAATATATAGCCACATCTTGATTGTAGCCCACTGGATCAAAAATCTGACGTTTTTACACCCAGTTTCTGAGTGCATTTCCTCCTCTTCTTAAGATCCCAGTGGCAATGGACTTGGACTAAAATGGGACTACTTTCTCTCTGCATCCTCTCTGTATCAATACCACTTCTTCTGCATCTCTTCTCTGGTATGCAACTTTTTTTGTTTTGTTTTTTTGTTAGAAATATTGACGTGTTGTCATCTATATAGTTTATGCATTTTTCCTAAACTCATTTGTGTATTTCTCCAGACTCTATTGACCTCAGCCGACCATCAGATATAGGGCTCAATCACACTATAAACATGTACCTCACACCTGAGGAGGGGGTGAGAGTGGGCGTGTGGTTAGTTTTAAGACACCTACAGTGCATGTCACACATATACACACCAAAATATAAAACAAGATAATTGCAAATAATCAAGGTTCAATATATTCTTTTATTAATGTTTTCAAGGCACACTGTACCTGAACATAGATGGAAGGAGGCGCAGGGGAAAGATCTAGACTGGTATGAGAAAGCTCTGGGGGACGGATCGCCCATTTTCATCTACCTCCATGGCAATGGGGGTAACAGGCAAGAAAACTTTTAATCACCTTAAAACTTTAAAGAACAATTTTTATCTTATTCTTTGTTCACTTGAGATTACATTTGCATGCCTTTGATCTGCTAACCTATAGACCTTCGTCAGGATAGCACCATATTTCATATTTGGCAGGAATGAAAATGAGGCTGTAAGGAAGAAAAGTGCATTCTGTACAGGAAAAAATTAGACAATAACTTCATAAAAGAGTTTTGAAAGTTCTGAGTTGTGGAAATGATGTGATGTAGGACCTTTACACAGAGTGTGCCATTGTAAAGAATGTAATACTGCCCTTCACAGCCTCATTTTCATCATTTAAATTTAATATTATGTCTAACCTAACTAAGGTCTATAGACACAATACAATATCTGCATAATCTCTTTGCACAGAGATCAGTGATCTGAACGTCACACTGCTTTGCACTTTACCTTAGTAAAAACTGGGATGGTAACTGCAGCATATCAATTAATGTCCACATTCAGTTCTTTTGCAACCTCACTTTTTAAACAAAATGTCACCGTACAATGAAATCAAATGTAAAAATAAATAAATAAACAAACAAACATACACTGCCATGTTATAATCAGTTTGTCAACCTTAAATAAGATTACCATATATTGACTTGCCAAATACAATTTTCAGTTCATCTGTGATTTTTCTTGTTTGATGGCGATAAACCATTTAAAATTAGTTTTCCTCTAAATAAATATGGAGCTCATTTCAGACTTGAACTTCTGTATATGATTTCTCTATTGCTTACTCCAATACATTCAAACATGTCAGGTTTTGGGGACTCCACTGGTGAGCCTACAGAGGCCGGTATGACTTCTGATGCTGTGTACTTGTACCACTGGGTTAAGGCACGTAGTGGAAACAGCCCGGTGTGTGTGTGGGGTCACTCGATTGGTAGTGGGTGTGTAAAATCACCTTTTTTATTGACTTTTGCTATGTTTACTACAAATATTTTAGAAACAAAAAAAAAAGCTATCAATATAATTGTAAATAATATATATATATAATTTATGTTTCTTTTTCAATAGTGTTACGACTAACACTGCAGTGAAATTACTGGAGCAAGGTAAAAATTCGACTGATTTAAAAACAAGCATGCTCTTGTTTGTCTCAGTGGCTCTTCATTGCAATTTTCTCACTCTTTACGTTTGACTTTTAAACTAGGAGCTGTCATTGTATGGCATAGTAAGCTTCACATATTTTTATGTTTTAAAATGAACTTCTTGACTGTAATGGGAGAATGCTATGCTATGCTTTTCTTTGTTCTGTATTTTGGTCTTGTTAAAAAAACTGCACATTTCTTGACAGGAAAACAGTTTGATGGAATTATACTTGAGGGTGCATTCGTAACCGGACGGAGGGCAAGAGATCAACCTATTGAACACCCTTTTACATGGGTAAGTAACGTTCAAGATCTTTGAAATTTTAATAATCTTGTCCTGACAAGTTTTAGATATTTATATTAGGTATTATAGATTTTTTTTTTAATTTTTTTTTTAATTACCTATCAGACATCAAAACATAATAATTGTGATTTTCCTAAATAGTAAAATTCACTTAAAATCTGATAATTTCATTTAATTCTGCAAAATTTAAAGTTCATTTATATTTTACAGGACAAACTACACACACACACAAATATGGGTCATTAATCATAGTTTGGTACATGTAAGTCTTATTTGTACCTCTTTTTTTCATTTCATTTCCCCAGTTTTATTGGAAGTTCCCATACATTCAATTCTTCCTTTTCAATCCACTTAAAAACAACATTTTCGTCTTTCCAACCAATGAGAAGTATGTAATATTGTTTCACTAAATTATGCCACTGTTACAGTATGTTAAATATGAAAATGCTATAAAACTTTCCATCTCGCATTTTCTCCCCACCCCACCCCCTTTTTTATTTTTTGGTTGATAGTTTGCAGAAACTTAGAACTCCCCTCATGATTCTCCATGCTGAAGATGACCATATAGTGCCCTTTGCCTCAGCTCAAGAGGTTTGTGTGTATGAAACGTAATTTATCTTATAAAAATTGTTTGGAAATACATTTTTACTTTGAATTACAATTTTTTGTCTCAGATCTACAGAATTGCAAAAAAGGCCCAGAATTCGGATAAGCGGGTCAAACTGGTACCATTTGATGGAGCGCTTGGATACCTTCATAATGGGCTGTATAAAGACCCTGGTTTGCCAAATATCATAAGGTGATGTCACTCTCTGAAAATGTTTTATTCATCTGAATCTTACTTTTTTTAAGAAAATATTTCTTAAGAGATATGGAAATGGCTTTAGAGGAAAAAAAAACTTATTTTCAAATAATATGTAACGGCGAAAATAGTTACTTTTGAGGAGTAGGCTATGCGTTACTTGTTGCTAATGTTGAATGGCAGCAAAATAAATGCATATTTTAATCATTACAGGGAGTTTGTGCAGTCATTGATGACATGAGATACACACACACAGGAGGAGGAGGATTTGCACCAACTAATAGCCAGCTGTTTCATATAATTGGTGTTGTAACTGTCAATTTACAGTATGCCCTTCTAGGATAAAACATTGTAATTGTAAAGTATTTTTTCAGAATTCCACCAATTAGAGTGAATTTTATTGTCTTGTTAATATTTGTAAAAAAAAATTTCAAGACTTTTATACAATAAAAATTGTGATTTTTTTTTCTGAGTTTGTATTACAGTGTTGGTCACAGTGTTAACACTTACAATGTATCTCTGACAGACATCAAACTATCACCCATTTTACGACTGAATGGTGGTTTGTTTCCTCAGAGACATCAGCAGCATGAAGTGATTAAAATAGGAACTCTTCAAATATATTATAAAGGTTCATCTTTTTTTTTCTTAAATTTCTCATCAATATGCAGAAAAGGTAGCTGGTAAACATTCTCTATTTCTAAATAAACATTTTAATTAAATACTTAATTCAACTTTAATTTTAATATTAATTCAATATACAGGTATTTGCGAATATATTAAAGGTAGCTACTATTTGACACTTTTCTAAAAGCAATTTTTATTCCAAATATTAAAGAACATTGACGGTCATTGAAAATGTGAATAGGTGTAAAAGAATCCAACAAGAGGCTTGCAAAAACTCCAGAAAGAAAGTTCTCCTTGGCCATTGGAGACAGAGTATAAATAAACACTTAATAAATCTGTGATCCAACTAAACCTTTGCTGAGTAGAGTGCTTTGTATGAAAAAGAATCTTGATTATAAATAATGCCATTGTAATCTTGTTTTTCCTGAGAATTTTGAGCTTTAAAAATTAAATGTGTGGTAATGTATGCTACAACTGTGCCATAAATCTAACATAACTTTAGAACAGGTTATTCTCCATAAAACACACAACTTATTAAAAATGATTTCAACATGTGCAATGTAAAAAATTAATAAATAAATAATTGCTTTTTTTCATAACTGATCAAATAAATAAAGCATATCAGGAGCAGCGTATATTCATAAATCACACAATGTAGCAAAGTCTAGAGTGAAAAAAAACTGTACAGAATGTGTGCACATAAGCCCAGTCCATGCTCTTTGCTCTTTACACCCGTTCACTTCCATGAGTTGCATGGTTTGTTTGTCAATTATTGCCAAAGTTGTGTGTTAAGTAAATAGAAAGAGTGTCTCCTGCACTTCAAAATGAAGAAAAGAATCAATAAATCTGAAAGGAAATTTCAGTATGCAGGAAGATTGCAACAATCTGGTCAGAAACCTAAGGATTTAAACCTGCATGCAAGGCAAGTGACATTTTGTATTGACTTCTTTGAAAGTAATTCAGTGTAGTCCTGTTTTTTTGCTAGACAGCTGCATAACTGCATAAAACGAACCGCAACAATTTCAGGCAATGTCTACAGTGATGTTTTATTAAGCCCTGAATAGGGCTCAAATGTAATTGGTTGTAAAAGAAGAACCTTTAGAATGTGACACTATGAAGATTACTTTAATGTTTAATGTTTACTTCAATGTTTTTAAAAAAAACTTGATATATGCAATACAAGCCATTATTACTGCTAAACTATGAAGGTTAATTTATGCAATTCATGAAGTTCATGCCATTATAACATTTTCATCTTCCAACAGTAACAAAGTCCAGTTGTAAGCAAAGGCAAAAGCATTAACTATAGCACATAGATTGCAATATCTTTAATATATAGCCACATCTTGATTGTAGCCCACTGGATCAAAAATCTGACGTTTTTACACCCAGTTTCTGAGTGCATTTCCTCCTCTTCTTAAGATCCCAGTGGCAATGGACTTGGACTAAAATGGGACTACTTTCTCTCTGCATCCTCTCTGTATCAATACCACTTCTTCTGCATCTCCTCTCTGGTATGCAACTTTTTTTTTTTTGTTAGAAATATTGATGTGTTGTCATCTATATAGTTTATGAATATTTATTAAACTCATTTGTGTATTTCTCCAGACTCTATTGACCTCAGCCGACCATCAGATATAGGGCTCAATCACACTATAAACATGTACCTCACACCTGAGGAGGGGGTGAGAGTGGGCGTGTGGTTAGTTTTAAGACACCTACAGTGCATGTCACACATATACACACCAAAATATAAAACAAGATAATTGCAAATAATCAAGGTTCAATATATTCTTTTATTAATGTTTTCAAGGCACACTGTACCTGAACATAGATGGAAGGAGGCGCAGGGGAAAGATCTAGACTGGTATGAGAAAGCTCTGGGGGACGGATCGCCCATTTTCATCTACCTCCATGGCAATGGGGGTAACAGGCAAGAAAACTTTTAATCACCTTAAAACTTTAAAGAACAATTTTTATCTTATTCTTTGTTCACTTGAGATTACATTTGCATGCCTTTGATCTGCTAACCTATAGACCTTCGTCAGGATAGCACCATATTTCATATTTGGCAGGAATGAAAATGAGGCTGTAAGGAAGAAAAGTGCATTCTTTACAGGAAAAAAGTAGACAATAACTTCATAAAAGAGTTTTGAAAGTTCTGAGTTGTGGAAATGATGTGATGTAGGACCTTTACACAGAGTGTGCCAGTGTAAAGACTGTAATACTGCCCTTCACAGCCTCATTTTCATCATTTAAATTTAATATTATGTCTAACCTAACTAAGGTCTATAGACACAATACAATATCTGCATAATCTCTTTGCACAGAGATCAGTGATCTGAACGTCACACTGCTTTGCACTTTACCTTAGTAAAAACTGGGATGGTAACTGCAGCATATCAATTAATGTCCACATTCAGTTCTTTTGCAACCTCACTTTTTAAACAAAATGTCACCGTACAATGAAATCAAATGTAAAAATAAATAAATAAACAAACAAACATACACTGCCATGTTATAATCAGTTTGTCAACCTTAAATAAGATTACCATATATTGACTTGCCAAATACAACTTTCAGTTCATCTGTGATTTTTCTTGTTTGATGGCGATAAACCATTTAAAATTTGTTTTCCTCTAAATAAACAAATAAATAATACATTTTGCATTATATTGAAAATACATGCTTTGACCAGTTTTATTGGAAGTTCCCATACATTCAGTACTTCTTGTTCAATCCACTGAAAAACAAAGATTTGAACCTTCCAACTGATGAGAAGTATGTGACATTGCTTTTTATATATTCAAACATAAAGTTAATATAAAATATAATGTAATTAATATATTAAACAATATGAGTAGAAATATGATTGTGATAGTAGGCTAGTGTTATGTTAAATTTGTAAATATATTGTAAACTTTTCATCTGTTGCTATTTTGTTTTGATAGTTTGCAAAAAATTCAAACTCCCCTCATGATTCTCCACGCTGAAGATGACCATTTAGTGCCCTTTGCCTCAGCTCAAGAGGTTTGTTGTATGAAACGTAATTTACCGTATGAAAAATAATTTAGAAATATATATTTTTATACTTTACATTAAAAAATTTATTTTTTTTTGGCTCAGATCTACAGAATTGCAAAAAAGGCCCAAAACTCAGATGAGCATGTCAAGCTAGTACGATTTGATGGAGCGCTTGGATACCTTCATAATGTGCTGTATAAAGACCCTGGTTTGCCAAATATCATAAGGTGATGTCACTCTCTGAAAATGTTTTATTCATCTAAATATTACTTATTTAAAGATTTCAAATGATTTTTCGAAACAGATAAGGAAGGCTTTAGAGAAAACTACTTTCCATAAAAAGTAACAGTGAAAAATAATTAGTTACTTTTGAGGAGTAGGCTATGCGTTACTCGTTGCTAATGTTGGACATACATCACTAAATGACAGAAACAATATTAGAAAATGGCAGCAAAATAAATGCCTATTTTCTTCATTACAAGGAGTTTATGCAGTCACTGATGACATGAGAGATACACACAGAAGGAGGAGGATTTACACCAACTAATAACTGGCTAAATAGCTGTACATCTGGTGCTATAACTGTAAATTTAGTTGTTTTAAACAGTATGCACTTCTTGGATATAAAACATTGTAATATCTGAAGTAAATTTTACACTGGGAGTCCCCCCATCAAGATAAATTTATTGTCTTGTTAATATTTATAACATTTAAATCTTTCAAGACTGCAGTGAAACCTTTTTCACAATGCATAATAAAATCAGTTGTATAGTTTCTTGACCCATTTAGCATTCTATAGGGTTGCTTTACAAACACATTTGGCCTGCAAAGTAGTCCTAAGATATCTAAGCTGTATAATAAGTATACTTAGATTCTACTGTATTTACTCACCAGAATTATATTTCAGCATGCATAGATAGCAGAGAATGAGGGAGAATAATGTTGAAAGCCACTTAATAAGTGGTGCAAGCCTTGTCCAGATGGGATATGCCTTTTAATCATGCAGATCTTGATGTCTATATCTCTTAAAAGCACATTTTGTCAACATTTATGAGTGCACTGGCACATAGGTGACCTCAAGGCAAGCACACATGGACTACAAGCTACAAAAGTCTAATTTTGTTTTCTTGCCTTTAAATGTTGTGTTGGCAGTTTTAAAGTTCAACATGTTCTAGGGTTTCTGTGGGTCTTACAAAGATCTTAAGAAGTCTTATTTAGCCCTTCCGCAAATTAAGGCCTTGCAAATCACAGCAAAAAGACTTAAATTAAATAAAAAATAAAATCAAGGCATATAATGTTGCACACACAGCAATTGTCTTTCTCTGTATTTTTGTATTGTTTTCCATGCAGTTCAAATATATAAGCATCCTTAAATGAAGATACATTAAGATACATTTACTTCAGATACAAAATAAAGATAGAAATTTTGATAAACTGTGTTTATACTTATACAAGAATAACTATCTGTCAGTGGGGAATAAAGTAAGTTGATTTTTCAACTTTTTGAAGTACATTAGCAGATATTTGTACATTTTTAATCATAAACCCACTTTACTTTGATCAGTTTCACAGAAAACAAGACTTCTTATCTAATGTCATTTTGCTTCTCAAGTAAATGTATCTTGATTTAAGAATCTTTAGACATTTGCACTGAAAAACCAGACAAAAATACAAATGAATAAGATTTTTTGGAGTGTGATCAGATCATTAAAAGTTATTTCCATATTCTAGTGATTTAGAGCAGAGCTATTCAAGACTTAAGGATTTTTTTTTTTTTTTTTAAATAATGGGGATTGGTTGGAAGTTGTATTTTCAAACTTTAGTGTTGCTAATACAACACATTGTGTTAATTAATTAATTAATTTACTTACATATGTTACTTACATACACGTTCTCAACTCAAACTAGCTGACTTCCCAAGGTATCTCAACAATTTATCAAGACAAATGTTTTTGTAATTAGGTATTGGCCAAAATGCTACACTAGCTCTCCCAAAACAAAACAAAGACTAGGGGGTATTCCGAAAGCAGGTTATGTGATATACAGTAGCCAGGTATGTTTAAGGGTAAGTAAACGGATAAACTCAGCATTCAGTTCCAAAAACGGAGGTAACTTTCAGGGAATGTAAGTAGCCATATTGCAACTTATTCCCTGAACTACCCTGCTCAGAAGTAGATTAAGTTTCAGGGTTGGTTAACTTCAGAGCTATCAGCACATGCGTGACCTATTGACCAGACTCCAGTGTTGTCACAGGTTGCGCACAATATTATATATTATTACACTATAGTTAATATGCAATATTATAGTTATCTATATCGATAGTATCAATCTATCTATCTATCTATCTATATTAAAAAGCACTATTATAAGTATTATATGTTATATTATTGTCATCTCAGACATGGATCTGCATTCAAACGTGTTTTTTTTTTTTTTGCAACTGGACGTTTTCTATAATGTATTTCTATAATAAAATGATAAGGTATGTCTTATTATATAATCAGCATCAAACAAATAATATAATTCTTATTCTCAGTGATTAAAGATGAAACGAAAAGATTGAAAATGATTGCACAACCACCAATTAGGTGGCGCTATGCACTATGTACATGGCCATTGAAGAAAGGACGACGTATGTCTTGTGTGTCAACCGTGAACATACTGAGTTGACTGAATTTACTCCCGGACGCGTTTTTGGATTAATCAACCGAGAGTTTAGGGTCCCTGCTATGCCTTGACGCGTTTTCCCAAGTCTTGCTAATCTAAAAGACAAACAACACAAAAAACTGCCTTGTCCGAAACCCGAATAATAATATGTCAGCATTTGCTGATTATGCCTAAGCTTTTACTTCATTTTTTTTAAGTTTCTATCAATGAACAGCAGTGTGGTTTTACATCCTGCTGAGCAACCGGCCTTTCCACCGCTTCTCAGATGACGTGGCCATGGGTGGTGAAGCGGAGGGTTTCCTTCCTCAACGTTGAGTCATCGCTCTCTCCAACGATAGGTCCAAGTTACCCACGTGACCTCTTCCCACCAATCAGCGGAAAACGCGCTGATCACTCGCTGAACAGTTTTACGACAAACTCGTATGTGTGCATCGTTAAGACAACCACTGTCATAGAACCAGGAAGAAGGAAGGTGGGATAGCCCCCCAAAAAGATACCATCTCAAATCAGTCACGGAATTTACTCTACAAAATCATGGGGCTCTGCTGGTGGACGATTGAAGTGGTTGTCTTGGCGACTCTTTTTAGTTCACTTCTGCTAGTTCGAGCAGATGAACACGACCACAAGGTAAGATAAACTGCGGGCCGAGAAGCCCTCTGTGTTCGGTGTGTGTAGTCTCGAGAGACGTTATATATTGGGCTGGTTGTTCTGACAAAAGTGTCTAACAGCAACGGACAGAAGTAAATCCAAAACAGTGGACTCGGTGACCTATTCGTTGTCCCGTGTCTGTGTTAGAAATGCTAAGTACATCATCACAAGCTACGTGGCTACCTTAGCACCAGCTATCCCATTATATTATGTTGTGCAAATTGCAGAGCAGTGCTCGCAATCATCGGGTTCTTCTTCTCCTATGATGTATGATAAGTATAATGTTATTCCTGGCATAACCTCTCAATGTGTTTCGTGTACTGTGTGTTTCTTTTGTGTATGTGTGAGCTTACTCTGAAGGGTCGGCTAACCGTCTTTAGCTAAACTATGTCCGTCTGTACACACATATCCGGTTCGTCCAGGCTTTTTTATGACTGACACACTGTAAATCATGGTTACATTTATAGTAAAAAGCAGCGTTGCTTGCTAGAATGTTACCTTACAAATACAGTGTGACGGGATGGCAGTCTTGTATCGATGACATTTTGATGACTGTCTATTTTACAGTTCCTAGCTCTATGGCATTTAATCATAATATTTCAGTGCATCAACCTATCTGAGCTAATATAATGTGTTGGTTGCTTTGAAATGGTAGGTACAATGGAAGGCTGCATCATTTCTGTGATCAGTAATTACACAATGACAGGCAGAGCCCTGGGTAACACGTAACATTATCATAATCCAGTATATATTTAAAACATAAACAAATATTTTTTCTCAATATTTTTTGAGTACATTTACATGAAATTAAGATTTTATGTAATGCAGCTAACAATTAAGTCTTTATCGTAGCCTTTTTGCACTCTGAAAAAAGTAATATACTGTGTGTGTGTGTGTGTGTGTATATATATATGTATATGTATATATGTGTGTGTGTATATATATATATATATATATATATATATATATATATATATATATATATATATATATATATATATATATATATATATATATATATATATATATATATATATATATATATATATATATATATATATATATATATATATATATATATATATATATATATATATATATATATATATATATATATATATATATATATATATATATATATATATATATATATATATATATATATATATATATATATATATATATATATATATATATATATATATATATATATATATATATATATATATATATATATATATATATATATATATATATATATATATATATATATATATATATATATATATATATATATATATATATATATATATATATATATATATATATATATATATATATATATATATATATATATATATATATATATATATATATATATATATATATATATATATATATATATATATATATATATATATATATATATATATATATATATATATATATATATATATATATATATATATATATATATATATATATATATATATATATATATATATATATATATATATATATATATATATATATATATATATATATATATATATATATATATATATATATATATATATATATATATATATATATATATATATATATATATATATATATATATATATATATATATATATATATATATATATATATATATATATATATATATATATATATATATATATATATATATATATATATATATATATATATATATATATATATATATATATATATATATATATATATATATATATATATATATATATATATATATATATATATATATATATATATATATATATATATATATATATATATATATATATATATATATATATATATATATATATATATATATATATATATATATATATATATATATATATATATATATATATATATATATATATATATATATATATATATATATATATATATATATATATATATATATATATATATATATATATATATATATATATATATATATATATATATATATATATATATATATATATATATATATATATATATATATATATATATATATATATATATATATATATATATATATATATATATATATATATATATATATATATATATATATATATATATATATATATATATATATATATATATATATATATATATATATATATATATATATATATATATATATATATATATATATATATATATATATATATATATATATATATATATATATATATATATATATATATATATATATATATATATATATATATATATATATGTATATGTGTGTATAAAAAAAATATATATATATATATATATATACGCACACACACACATTTTTTTTACATTGTGCAGTCCTAATGATAACAATGTTTGCTTTGTATTTGAGACAACTTTAATGTTGGCATGAATCGAAAATTCAAGTGCATATTTAGATCTTATGTTAAAGATCTTATTGTGAACAATTCATCTGAGCATGTTTTTTTTGTTTTTTTTTAATTCTGACCTAGTAATGTTTAATCAATGTTATGTAACAAATGTTATAACTTGAGCTCACATTCATCTACCTCCACTTTGGAGTATAACGCCCACATCTCAAAATCTAGTTGTGGCCTAATGGTTAGAAAGTCGGACTTGTAACCCAAAGGTCACGGGTTCAAGTCTTGGTGCCGGCAGGGATTGTCGATGGGGGGAGTGAATGACCAGCGCTCTCTTCCACCTTCAATACCACGACTGAGATGAGACCCTTGAGCAAGGCACCGAACCCCCATCTGCTCCCCGGGTGCCGCAGCACGTGGCTGCCCACTGCTCCAGGTGTGTGTTCACGGTGTGTGTGTGAGCACGTGGCTGCCCTCTGCTCCAGGTGTGTGTTCACGGTGTGTGTGTGTTCGCTACTTGGATGGGTTAAATGCAGAGCACAAATTCCGAGTATGGGACACAATACTCGACTACACGTAACGTCACTTTCAATCAATAAATGATACAGAGAACCAAGACCCCGCCCTACACTTTTTTTCAGTAACCCACCCCCAGTTTCTTTTTCAATAAGTTGATTATGGGTATTTACTAAGATTGGATCTTCCATTTCACAGCTTTCATAACATTACTGGAAGTATTCAATACCACACACAACAATCAGTGATGATGAATTAGCCAGTGAGAATACCTCTGAGCGTGGAAGACCGTGTTTAAGGTTTCATGAATTCAATTCAAGTTTATTTGTATAGCGCTTTTCACGATAACTTTATAGAAAATTAAAGTTTCTACAATATTTAGTAGTACCTTATCAGTGGTGACTGTCAGTTAATGTACATATGGCAGAAATGTACGGACAAATTAAAGACGTAATCAAACAGACTATTAACACTATTTACAGCAATTATTATATGATGCAATCAAACTTATAGCAACATGCAACAAACATGCAGCTGTCTTCTCTTCCTCTTTTTCTCATGTTCATTTTATTTAGACCAGTGCATCCAGTGTCGCGAGTGCTGCTGTATTGCCCTTTAGATTCAGATAGGACGGTGTAACACTACCTAATTTTCAGGTTCACACCCTTGCTGTGACACTTAATTCAAAGAATTAAAGGGATAGTTCACCCAAAAAGAAAAAGAAATCTTAATTCTGTATCGAGATCGTCTACATCCCTGGATCAATTACATTTCATGTCTATTGGGTGACCTTATGTCTAATGTCTTGTTATTTGCCTAAGGGGAAAGGGTCTTTCATTATGAATAAGAAACCTTGTTAAACATACAATTGGATACTAATAACCATTGAAAGGTGACAAAAGCATTGCTTCAAAAAAGTCTGTGTCATAAGTTCTGTGTACTTTATTCTGTAGATTCTAAAAACTGGTTTGACAGCAGCTTTTGAATATGTATATCAGTGAGCAGTCTATAGTTCTTCCCTTGTTAGTAATGATAACTTAAAGGGGTCATATGATGTTGCTGAAAAGAACATTATTTTGTGTATTTGGTGTAATGAAATGTGTTCATGCAGTTTAAGGTTAAAAAAAACACAATATTTTCCACATGCTGTACATTATTGTTTCTCCTCTATGAAACAATAATGTTTCATATTGTTTCTCCCCGCCTTTCTGAAACACGTCTATTTTTACAAAGCTCAGTCTGAGAAGCGAGGTGTGCTCTGATTGGCCAGCTATCCAGTGCGT